CAACCCCCATTCCCTGTCCCCCTGCGCCGGGGCAGGGGGGCAAGGTGTTTTAAGATTTAGTTTTTATTTCTCATTACCCTACTCTGATTTGATTGGTGATAAAGTAATTTTCCTGAGTTGAGTCTGTTTTGCCAGTGATGGTAACTGGTGAGTGATCTCTCCCTGTCCTTATCTCGACCCATAAGCCTTTTGTTATATTTTCTTTCCCCTGTCCAGCTGAGAAGGGGCATGATAGAGCGGCTTTGGTGGGCACCTGGCATCCAGCCAGCATCATCCCGCCACAACATACAATTTCACTCTGCTCTGTTTCCAGAGTGCGCTACCTCCGTTTGTATCTGCCCATTAGTAAAAGGAGAACAACTGATCCAGGCACTTGATTCACACAGCTTTTGGGGGATCTTGTCCTTTAAGGGCCCTGCTTGAAATAGGAACTAGTTGGCACAGCCACCTTCCCTCAATAAGGAACACAGAGAGGTCACCTTTATAGTGCAGATGTTCATCCTCATAAAAAAAAAAAAAAAAAAAACACCCCCAAAACAACCCCCCTGCCAGTAAGATTTTCTACAGGCATCTTACAAGCAGAGTATTCACACCTGAGGGGAAAGCCAGGCACATAACGCTTCTGCATAAGAGCACCCCAACCGGAGAGAGCGCCATCAGTGCAGCAAATGGAGCAAAGATCCTTAGCAATGGGCATGGCCAAGGACGGGCATGCAGGGATAGTGCAAGTTCACGGGGACATCTGAAACGAGTGGCTGGCAGGCGCCCAAGGGAAGCACAGGAGGATGCAGTAGTCTGTGAGCACCCTGAACTTAACCTGGCTAATCCATTTTTCAGAGACATCATAACTTTACCACTACACATAGTATATCATACATGGCTTCACATGTCACTATAGACATTTATAACTCACACTGACTTTAAAACATTTGCTTTTCCTGCCACAGCTATCTACCAGTTAACACCTACCATTTTCCTTAATGGATGTCACATACAGCACAGAAGGGGTCATTCCAAGTTGTCTGGAAATCGCCTCAGCTTTCTCATTTATTTATGTATTTGTGCGTGTGTCTCTGTGTGTGTATGTGCACGAACATGCATGAATGCAAGAAAATCTAGATGCATGGTTCTGTAAATATATAAACAGCTACAAAGCAATTGTATAAGCTGTATAACCCTTATATAAAGCTGAAGGAGACATATCTTTCAGATGAATGTATTGCCTAAATCTGGAATACTACAAATTGGTCAAACACGTCTTTAACATATTTCTAAAACAACATAAATCTACTGTCATCTATCAAAACACTGTGGCCAACAGCAGTCCTTACTCGACAGAGACACCTGTGTACTACTAGCACTGGAGAGGAGTGCCTCAACCAATACACAGCTCTGCTTCAGCTCTAATGAGCTCCACTGAAGGGTAAAATGAAGTCAACTGAATTATAAAAATACACACTAGTCAATAATCCCCCACCACATGGTATATTAAAGCAATTTATTTCAAAGTAGTAATTTTTAAGGGAGGGTAATTGAATTCATAATGTCTTCACTACTACAGTATTTTTTGACTTTGACAACAGCAACCCTGGATATTGGGAACAGAAGTCAAATACAACTTAGAAGTGCTACTTGCCCAGCTATCAGGATGGATTTTTTTAAAATTCAATTTTAAATAAAAATTAAATTTGAACTTACTTTGAATCCATTTTTGTCACTTTCTTAGTGAAAAATTCATCCACGCCTTCATCCACTCTCCCCATGAGGCCATTCTGATCCCCTTCTGGAGGCACTCCAGCAGACACCTGACAGAAGAAAAAACTCTCTCTGGTATATAATAACCTAAGCATATTTGTTTCAATGAGAATAATTAAGAGTTAAGACATTATAAAAATTGCATGTGCCAACCAAACCTCAGTGCAGACAATGGAATCACCACTGGAATTCCCCCTGTAGTCAGGCTAGTTGACGCATTACATCAAACGCAAAGTAACCCAAAACACCAGTGACAAATTGGATACTGCAATGCATGAGGCCAGGAATCAAATGCCTTGGGCTTGTAGAATAGAGCACTAGTTCAGTTAGAAAAGAAAAAAAGCAGTTAAGGAAAAATTAAATCCTGATCAGGTGGTGACCTGAAGAGAAAGTATTTTCAACAGCCAGTTGTTTCCCTGTTCAGAGAAAAACATATGTTCCGGATTTTGGATTTAGAGATTTAGAAACAGAGCTCCAGCAGGCTAACAGAGCCTTTTATAATTCATTCAATCCAGCACTTCCAAAAGCAGAGATTCTAAAAGCAGAATAAGGTGTTTCACTTTAGGAACCGAACACAGATTTTTGCTGAGTGTCTGAAAATGGAAAACCTGCTCCCTTTCTTTCGTTTCAATGCCCACGTTTTGAATGTGGGTGACGGGAGGCATCTAAACCAGGCTGACTTAGTAATACCTGCCAACCACAAAGGCCTTGTGAAGATTAGCTGGTGACTCTGCAGCCTCCTGAAGATGAAACATGCCGTCTCCTGGGAGGATTTCTTGCGTGATCTAGCTCCCGTACGTGGCTTTGATGTGGAAAAGCTCTATTACCAGTAGAGAGACTTTCTTCAATTTAAATGCCGTATGGAAACCTTTTAGGTGACTACAGAGGACTCCACAAGACCCAACCCAGTTGTATTCTTGGTACTATTTAACAACCAGGAATCAGTCTGCTGCAAAATAGCAGGGTTTGTAATTTGAAACAATTTAAATCAAGGAATCTCCTAGTTGCCACAATAACTCAGAGTAATCCCAGCTTCCCTTTTCATCTGGAATACACGCTCTTTTCTATGCCTCTAAAAAGAAAAAGAGATACTCTTAAAAGCTGCTGTTAACATCAAATCCAGCCTCATTAAGCCAGGACAATGGACTGCATAGGAACTAATGCTTTGACATATCCCTGAAACTTTTTACTTTCCATTGCTGAACCTTGTTAGAAGCCTAGTATTTACTTTGTTATCAAAGATAATAGTTAATATTTTACTGATATTTGCTGTAGCAATGAAATACTGATCTGAAAGAGCCCACCTGGGCAGCCCAACTGCTTTGTTGCCAGTCAAACTGCATATTTTCTATAAAAACCAGTTTTATTCTAAGAAGGACAATGACTTCTTAGACTTCCAACTCTGCCACCTTTGGGGTTTTCGGTAGAGAACTTGTTTAGCTGAAACATCTGACACTAGGCAGCAATGCATATACTAACATCTGGGTTGGTCACACCAGTGCTAGTTGTCTCAATGTAAATATTTACCTTCTCAGTCAAAAAACAGTTGACACTGATGTTTCAACCGAAATGTGTCAACCAAAAGTGGCTGATGCATTTCAACAGAAATAAGAAATGAGAAACCACTTAATATTGATACTGGAGCCCCCCATATAGTAGGAACAAACATGTAAGTATCAAAGACAACTGCATCTCCTGAAGGGGAAGTAATGCAAGAATCCAATGATCTACAGCAAATGAGAAGATCTACCTCAAAAAAGAAAACAGTTTGCATCTGAAAAAGCAAGTTCCTAAAAATGTACTAAAGACATACACAAATGTTGAGGGCCTAATTAGGTCCTCAAGGCACAGGATTTTCTTATAGATGTTTATTGTAATGCCTTTTAGTGATCAACGTTAATGTAAAAGACTGAGCTCTGTTTATTTTGTGTTTTACACTCCTAATGCTAGGGGGAAAAAAAAAAAAGTTAAGTTTTCATTTGTCATTTTTATTTTTTTTTTTAGCCCATGTTTAAAAGGGAGCCTTCTATGTTTCTTTATTAAGGAAAAAAACTGGCTTGGAAGCAGAAATAAATAAGATTAATCACAATCTCCTTCATACATTAGAGATTCATCTCTTTGCTGTACTAAATCTTCACACATGATGGAAGAACTCATGAGGTTAAGATCTCACAAAAATCTAAACGATAAACAACTGTTTCATTGTATTGCTTCAGAGCTACTTGGGGGTGCGTGGTGCTGAGGTTTTCTTTTTTCCCCTCTGAACACTCATTTCAGTAAAGACTCTGACAAAATCATAAATCTTTCTTCTGTCCACCCACCCACCCCAAGTTAAAAGTTTACATTTCTCCCTTTTTTCTCAATTTTTCCCTTTTTTTCTTATATTTTTCAGTTACAGAGAACAAATCTGCTTTCCAGCAAAACCAGAGAAGTACAGCTATGATCATCTGAGACCCCTTAAATTACTAAACGGAAATAATGGGAACAGCAAACAAACCAACAGACCTGCTTGAAGCGGTAGAATAGGTCAAGATTTTGCCTCTCACATTTCAAGTGCTTTTCCTAACCACTGCTTTCTTGTACTCTCAAAGTGGCAAAACCAGCAGCAAATCAATTCTGCAAACAATGCCATAGCCCACTCATGACTCTGGCCTTCAAAATTTGACCGCTTCATTTTCAGAAGCATCAAAGCAAACATCTTAAGTCTTTCAAAAATTTGTTTAGACTTGTTATGAGGTCAGAACTAGTAAGGAATTAAATGGTCCATAAAACCAAGACAGGGACAAATTAGTTTAAGTAAAAAAGTTCCTTTCAATTTCAGCAATTAAATAAACCCTTAATTTCCTAATTAATTCAATATGGATGAGCATTCCCACAACACTGCACTATCATGGGAAGTAACACTTCTCCTCTACAAGAAGTAAGATTTTTGTTTCTGTAGAGCAAGATATTGTATGCCTTAGTTCCATGCCTGGTAGCAAAGCACTTGCCCTCCCATGCCCTGGCTCCTTCCACACCCCTGTGCAGATGGCACAGGATGCGCTGAATAAGTTTGGAAGAGAGGCAAGTTTAGCAACTGGGAAAACATGTGCGTTCTGCAGAATTGGAATTGGAAGAAGTAAACACAGATGTGTTTTCACTACAGCGCGGAGACCAGTCCGTCCTTCTGCTACCTCTATGCTTCCCTGCAAAGTGCAAGAGAATGGAAAGTTGGCTTGAATATCCCCTCTGCTTGAAGTTTTCTCCATTTCCAAGTGGTGCAAAAAGCACTCTACTGCCTGATACGATCTTTCCCAACATTAGGGAAATTTTCAAGGGTCCTCTCTGCCGACAATCCTCAGGGAGCAGAAGAGGCCACAGGCATTCATTACTAGGCAGCATAACTCAGAGAAGCAATGGCTGCCCCTTGATAAGGGTTACTTATCATATCAGCTGTGCTCTGTTGCTGTGAGATAGCTCTGTAACTCCTCCAGATTTGTCCTTACATACCCCAAGGACATACCATCATAGAAATAAATCTTTATTGATGTGGTATGCCAGGGAAATGGAACTGTGGGAACTCCACACACATATACTTGGGTTCACACCAGTGCCTTTCGTAGACAGACAGTGCTCTTCTGTTTTGCTTTTCAAAGGCAGGCTCCAGCATGAAAAGCAGATCTGTGACTATGCAGATTTGCTGGCCCAAACACCATCTTTAGTTAAGGAGCTGTGGGAAGCTGGGTGTCACAGAGTAGCTCCTCTGAGAGCTGATAGAAATAAGAATTCATGCCAAGTTACCACGTCTTAATGCAGGCAGAAAAAAGGATTAAGACTTAACAAACCCTTGCAATATAATTGAGAAGTCTCATGATATTTTGTGCATTTCCTGTGAAAGCTCCAAGTACCTCCAGAAACTGCTTCCATGAAAAAACAAAGGCAAATTAAAAAAGGTTAAAACATATCCTGGTTTTAGACTGTGTCAAACAAAACAAAAAGCTTGTAATAGGGATTGCACACTGAAAGACATGAACATGAATACCAAGAAGAAAAATTAAGTAATTGCTTATGGCTTTTAAAACTTTAACAGTTGCCCTCATTACACTGCAAGACCTGACTCATGGCAAAAAGCAATCAACAGACGACATCGCCAGCAATATTTTAATGTAGACTCACTGCTGCTTGGCTGGGCTGCTGCTTTTTATTTCTTTTGGGCCTTAATTTTGTAAAGTGTTCCAGTTTTCTCCCTTCTTCCGATGGCAGCTCTGAAATGAATCCAGAAGTTCGTTTGTCCGGCCTGCTGGAAGGAAATGGTGGGTCTTCTATATGGATAGGTACTTCTTCCAGTGCTTTATCTAGATCAAATTCCATTTCTAAGAGAAATCAAAACTTTCTAATTAGACTTAACATGTCATTTAAAACAAAAGACAATGCCATTCCTCTCTTTTGTGGTAAGTAATTATAAACACATTTAGAGAACTCAGCCACAACATGTTTGTGAGCAGACAGAGCACTGTGAGCAAATATTTACTACCAAACACACAAGCAGAGTCACAAAACAAAGCAACCAGTGTGGGCCTCAAATGCAACCCAGAGAGAGGGAGAGTCACCTGTGCTTTTCAATCAAGAACTACCTAGAAGAATCTCAGGCAAGCCAAGCAGCAAAAAGAAATTCCCACTTACCAAAAGCTCTGGACACTGGCCGGAGCATTCTACTGTGGATGCTTTTCCTTTTTGATTTAGGAGTCATCTATCAACATAAAACAAAACAAAAATTACTTTACCAGACGGAAGAAATGACAAAGAACAACTTTTCCTTTCTATCCAACAAATTAGTTCTTCAAGCCTATGTATCATTTCAAGATCTGATTGGGTTTAACACCAGAAGAAACTGTGTTTTTTTCCTCCCCTTATCAAACATTCAGAATTTTTTCTAAATTGACATTTTCTTCAACTGACTTTGAACAGAACCAGGGAGGTAGTTTATTCTTCCCATTAAAACCATAGGCACAGGATGATTATTTGAATTGTCCAAGCATTAACTCATTGATCCCCAACTGTAAAACAAGGGAACTATTAAAACCTCACCTCTGCATTTGAGATCATGAGGCACAGAAAACTTAATTACTGCATCCAGTACTGCACAGTTAATGACAATACCAGTCTCCCCCCTGCTCTGGCTTTTATTTTTGATACAAAATACACTTCCTCAGTTCATTTGTTAGTGACATGCTACTGGGAATGATTAAAATTCAGGTATCTATGCCTCTGGACACCACCACACAGCTCACCAAACTTCCCTAGGAAAATGCAGTCTTGGAGCACACAGCCCTTCTTCAAAAAGCAAAAATACCATTTCAGTGTTAGCAATATCTCCAGCAAACACATGACTTCCCTGGACTTTAGATACACTGAGAATAGGTGGAAAGTTACCTTGGCATACATTCAACGTCATTACTGAAAGTTATGTGCTATTATTCTTCTCATCTTCACATTCCCAGAAAAAAGGAGTATGTTGCCTTAAGAGCACAAATACCCAGACTTAAGACCTGAATTTGTTATTTTTGGAAGCAAGTTACCCTTATTTTCTTGCCTGAACTCTTCTGAAAGTTTGCATGGCAAGAAAGACAGTTTTGCTACAGGAAATGCATGCATCACCAATTCTGAACCTCTTAACACAGCTCAGCATTGTAAGACTTTTAAACAAAAAGTTGACCTGCAGGTTTTCTAAAGATTTAATTTAAAATGACTCAGCTTCTGCAAAGATGGGCTCCTTTTGTGGTAGAGTCGTACATGCCGGCTTTAGTCACAGCCATATACTTCCATTTACTTGCTAGTCTTGAAGCCTAGTGGCTTCAAATCTGGAGTGTCAGTCAGAAGCTGTAATGGCTCAGAACTCATTAACAGAATTGTTAATCAAATTTAGTAGTATCACTTTTATATGAGCCAGAAAAGACATAGTTGGCATTGATATCCCAGACAAATCATGAATTAAGGTAAACATTTGCTAGTTTTTACGTATGGAAAGTTCAGTGCACAGACTTACATGTACTGAATTCATATTCCCATCTAAAGTAGTCAGGAGGATTATTATGCCACTATTCACATACTCCGGATTATGACAGATTTTTGTAACAGGACAATTATTACCCATCTTCTCAAGACCAGAAAAGGACTTGCAGACTACAGAGCGGGCAGTGATAGCACTGTCTGGGCAACAGAGCTCTGTTTTTATTGCCATGCACATCGCTGGGAAAAAAGATACCTTCAGCTGTTGCAGGTTTCCGCTTCCACATTTGACAAGCATCAGTAAATGATACAATAGTTTCAAGACCAGCCAGGACATAGCTTGGCACCTGAGCAGACTAATGAACAGGCAAAGTGTTATTGCATCAAAAGGTCAGACATTACTTTCAGAGTTACCAATAAATTAAATGCAACAGATTCGATGGCAAGTGGCTGGAGAGGTGCTGAACTTTTTCAGCCAAAATTGCAGTGGATTGCGCAATGGGTAGGCACTGGGCAGCCTCTGAACAGCACACCTCGACAGCTGCCGATCTATCACCCAAACCTGAAACAACCAAAGGCATCCGCGCCTCACGTGAGGAAGAGTTGAAGCAGCTCAGCATTTGGGGGACTCCATTAGGAGTCACTATCAGTAGTCTCCTGGCTTTATTTCCAGCCGTAGCCCATTTCTCTTGTTAATGTGTATCTGCATGCATTTTGGTCTGCTTGCCGCTTTTTTTGGTGGTTGGACTGAAAATTACATCTAGTAGGATAATGCAGCAACTCATGCGCTAAAGAAGATCAGAAAGGAGGACAGAAAACAAGGCTGATGGGAGACCTCCGATCACTCAGTAACTTCACAGCCATGGCCAGGGTTCAGAGTGCTCCTGGATGAAGACAGACAAGCCGAGAGCTGCATCGGCCCAGGGCACCAATGCAAAACAGCACGGCGCAAGTTTTGAGGTTCCTGTGCAGGGACTTAAACGCTCCAAGACAACCTCGACAGCCAGGAACAGATTGATTTCATCTTCCTTCCGAGACAAGAAAACGCCCCCAGATGACCCTGCAGAGCTTGTGCTGATGACCATAAGCCAGTCTCTGGATCACTGCTATAACTTACTGTCAGCTTGGCATGATCCATCAGCAGCGTGGTTGCTGGGGATAAAGGCAGAGGGATAGAGATGCCTCCCATTTGCTTTAACAGCATGAATAATAGCTATACATACACTTTTATTTGAAAACCTTCTGTTTTCTAGCCTGTTTAGGAAGTGCACAGATGAAAGGCTTCTTGCCAAGTGAACTTTCTGGATCACACACAGAGCAAAATGGGTCAAAGCATTAATTTAAACAGGCCAGTGTGCTCTTTTTACAAAATATTAGACTTAATCTCAGCTTAGTATCTCAGCCACTGTGCGGTATGCTACAGCAGCAGAGCACATGTCATTACCAGAGGAGATATCTGAATTCCTAGGGAAAAATCTCTGCCTCTTCCCAGCCTGAGCCCCATTTCCCATAGTTCATGGAAGCAGTTCAGATTTGGCAGACACGCACGTTCTGCCTTCCCACCATCTCTGGCCACACAAGCACAACACGGCTCTCCTACCTTACATTTCACTCGTGGCCTTTACAGGGGAATAGCTGTTAGTATCAACCTGCCCTCCTTCACTTCTTCCCCATCTTCCAGGAACTTTCTAGCAGACCACCTCCTGAACTTCTTCCTTGTTTTGCCTACTTTTCTGTGAGCAGACTGTAGGCTGCCCGGCAGAACAGATAAAAAGATTAACTGCATCTCTGGGTCTTGGGAGGCCCTCTTGGAAGTCTGCATGCACCTATGCCATTGAGATCTCTGGAGATGATGCCACAAAGGTACCCCTCTGCAGAAGATGGGAGCCAGAAAATCTCCACCACGCTCCCAAATAAGGGCTTATTTAGACACTCTCATATGTCCAAGCTAATTTTAAACTCCCAGGATCTCTTCCCATGATCACTTTTCCATATTCCTCCCTTCTGATGCCCTTCCTCACAAAACTACCTGAGCTCTCTTGAGTTTTCTTAAATTATATTACCAACTGTGGGAGAACACTAGTATGTTGGGAATTGAAAACAACAACTAAAATAACTTTGGTTTGAGTGCTAGAAAACAATGTGCTTTTAGCAACAGGGTCTCAGATACTCTACATTCCTTGATTATACAGACAATTGAAATTACTCTCAGTACTGAGGGATATGCTCATTTCCATGTTTTTCTCCTCCAAAGTAATTTATATTCAACCCTATTAGATACAGGGATGCTCTGTGACCCTCCTGTCACTCCCCTTTCAAAAAATTTCAAACAAACTAATGAACAACTTCCCCCTCCCTCTCGAAATTCAGCTCCCCAACCAGTCTCCCTTCAATCCTCCTTCCTGCAAAACAATGTATGGGTTTTCAGCTTCGAGAACGCATTAAGGGCGACAGCACAAAAAGGTGAGAACAGCAGTCAAAAGCTCAAGGTGATCCAACTAAACCAAGAAAACACAACTGACCAAACTGAGATAGCCCCTGACATCTTTTCCACCCCAGTCGCAAGAAAGGCCTAGTTCATGCCCATTTTTAAGCCATTCTTTCATTAAGCTGGATGACGCTTGAATATAAAACCAGATCAACAGATTTTCTTTCTAAGCAACGTTTGTGCTTATACCTCCGACATCAGCACTCTGCTTTGGTTTAGTCTTAAAGCCAAGGGATGCTTTAAATTCAGATGCTACGCTAGCTGAACCTTTTTTAAAAATCCAATCTCATCCCTGAACCACTGCCTATTTCATTTGTAGGTGCAGATGGATGGCACTACAGTCTCCCAGGGGACTCACGAGGCAGTACAGAGGCAAATGGAGCACAAAAACGTAAACTAGTAGGCCAGAAACAGCAGAGCTAAAAAAATACTTACACTTGTACAGCAGAGAGTCTCCATGCAGCAAAAAAGAAAGAAAAAAGAATATGAATGGGGAAGACAAAGCAATAGCAGTTCTCAGGAAAGGAGGCAAAACCAGAAGTCACCAAAATAAAGAAAACTAAAGCCAAAACACTTAGAAGTCTTAGCAGGAAAGGTGACATGCAAGAATGAGGTAAAAATTCCCTTGCATTTGAAGGTACTATACACTTCGTGCTTCCAGAGGATAACCAGAGAAGGATGTGATCTCTCTTGTTTTATCTATATTTGGACAAATTCAGGTTTTCAGACGTTTGTTTCCAATATATGGCACGTGCCAATGGTGCCAACCTGCCACCTGCTGCCCAATGTACTGTGTTTTTTCATTTTGACTGTGTTTTTTCATTTTGATGGCACCAGTAGTGAGAAAAAAAATGTAATTCTGTTATTTCCTAGTCTGAATGAAGCTTCTGAATTAAAAATCGGCAGTTTGTTGTGGAAAGCAGAAGAGCAAGGAAAACAAAACAAAGCTTCTGTTGAAAGAATGAAAAGAGGTGCAAGTCTGTTCTCCTGAGGTTTACATAAACCTAATCCAAAGCAACAGTATTTCTCCTTCCCATAAGGAGGTTTAGAGGCGCAGGCTTTCAAGCACTTTCGGCACATCAGAAGAATGCTATTCCATTCATAAAGCACAACCTTTCCTCTCATCTCCCCTTCAAAAAATTAAAAGAAAAAAAGGAAGCAGCACAGCCATCATATGAAATGAAGCAATGCCATATCCCATCTTCCGTGTGGCACATGACCAATCCTCCCCCTTAATTTAGAGTACGAAAAACAATCATTAGAAGTGCGGTTTTGTCTTCAAGTTGAATGGGAACTGCTGCTATAACAACGCTGCAGGTATTAGCAGAGTGTGGCAGAAGTCAATAGTCATGGTCTGCATTAAGCGTCTCAGCAAGAAAGTGCTGCATTTTTAATAGATATTGCACTGGTGTTTAATTATCAGCAGTGAAAATGGTCTGCACATAACATGAAGTTCATCATTTAATTGTTGAAGGGATATTAAGGTCAGTTTTTCAATGCTTTGACATTTTCAACAATAATAATCCACTTGTCACGGTTCATACTTCTAAGCTTAACTGTAGCTAAAAGTTTCAGAGATATGATGAGCTATCCTTGAATAGCAAGAACACTGTTCTTGCACACAGCTCCACTGCCTTTATTTTCCTCAGGGTTTTTGTTTGGTTGTTTTGTTTTTGTGGTTTGTTTTTTTTTTTAAATTTTTATTTTCTTTTACCTTCAGAAACTTTGGCTTTATACAGGAGTTCTCAGCTAACAGTGATTCAGGCAAACCTCCTCATTACTCTAATTTTTGTATGCTACCCACACATACACTCTTACTCCATTTCCCTGCCAGAATCCATGTTCTCTCTTCTCTTGCCCATCTTCTATACTACCATTCACTAGGGGTGCTCCGAGATTGCTGGAGAGACTGCAGAATCCATTGAGAAACATCTCGAAAACTGAAACCATCTTAAAAATAAATCTCCAGCACACTACAAAAATCAATCTGCAACATGGTTTCTCTTTCAGACAGCATTCGTGGAGTACTCCAGGGTGTTCTGTGTGTTTAATACATAGGCAGGAAAGTTATTTATATTATACAAGCAGCTGGAAAAGTGATTAGGACCAAAGTGCAAAGCAATACATACATAACAGGAAGCAATCCCAGGATTTGGGGGAGTTTACAGTCTGCGGTCCTGGTCCAGCAAGGGCTTATGGAAACTCTGACCTTCCACACTTCAGTGATCTCACCTAAGTGAGTGTGACTACTGAGCTGCTTAAAAGTTAAAAGATGCTAAATAGCTTCTGGGTGGGGAGTAAGGAGGGAGAAGGAGGAGAGGGAGGCATACAGCAGGGAACAGGTTAGACAAGGAAGCACCATTAAGCAAAGCAAAGACTAAGGGACTTGCCTGAAGTCACCAAGGAATCTGGCTGCTCTGCAGGGAACCTAATGCCAGTACCTGAAGTACCACAGACCACGAGGCCACCCAACCCTTCCCTTCGTTTGCTCTTGGCATAACCACAAAATAAAGTGGCCTGCCTCCCAGCGTACACGGACCATTGCTAAAGACAAAACACCAACCCCCAACCAAAAATCCCAACCAAATTCAACCCAAACAAAACCAGAAATTGGATTGGGGAATCATAACAATGTGCCAACTGGGAATAAGCTGTCA